GGGCATGGTGGCGCATGCCTGTAGTCCCAGCTACTCGGGAGGCTGAGGCAGGAGGATCGCTTGAGCCCAGGAGTGTGAGGTTGCTGTGAGCTAGGGTGACGCCACGGTACTCTAGCCCGGGCAACACAGCGAGACTCTGTCTCAAAACAAAAAAACAAAAAAACAAAAAAACATGGTAAAAAATTCCTTCTTTGGGTTTTGGCTGGTTTGGAGGGTTCTGTCGCCGGCTGCTGTGTCTGACTCGGATCCGACACATGCTCACGGCCCCTCCGATGCTAAGTATCTCTTGCCCCGCGCGTATGTAGGTGAGTTTCTGAATGGAAACAGAGGCCATTCTCCTGGAAATCTCTGAATTTTCCGGTACCTCACTCTGCTATTTACAGATTGGGAACCTGTGGCTGCTATTATGTTCCTCTTCTGGAAGATGCTGTCACCATCTGGGGTTCCCCCACCTCTCAGGGCTCCCCAGGCCCATTGGCCCCAGCACCTCTTCTTGGAGCTCTGGATGGTCACAGGCTGCCGCCCTAAGCCGGGTTTGGGTTTCCCAGTTGGGGTCCCCTCCCCCCATCCTCTGCCTCTTCCCCACTGGGCATCTGACCCCTTGGTGACAGGAATGGGGCATCGGCCTGAAAACAAACCATGAAAGGCTTGGTCTTGAACAATCCCACGTAATGAAAATGATGCAGGGTCTCAGCAGAATCAAGGTAGGGTCGAGGGTCGAGGGTCGAGGGTGGGCTCAGGGGTGAGATGAACTCAGAGATGGGGTCAAGACGCGGGAGGGTCTCAGAGATGGGACTAGGATGTGGTGAGGGTCAGCAGGACGGGAAGGGGCTTTGGTGGCTGGTATTTCTGCCCCCCCCAAAAAAGGGTCAACAAATACTTGGGAAGGCCAAAAGGTCCATGCTGTCAAAATGGCTGAATTAGGCTGGGCATGGGTGGTCTTGCCTGTAATCCCGCACGTTGGGGGGCCGAGGTGGGAGAATTGCTTGAGCCCAGGATTTCGAGACCAGCGTGAGCAAATTAGGGAGACCCTGTCTCAAAATACAAAAAATACAAAAAATTTAGCTGAGTGTGGTGGTGCGCACCTGTAGTCCCAGCTACTCGGGAGGCTGAGGCAGGAGGATTGCTTGAGCCCAGGAGTTGGGGGTTGCAGTGAGCTAGGATGACGCCACTGCACTCCAGCCCGGGCAACAGAGCAAGACCCTGTCTCGAACGAAAAAAAAGGCTGAATTAAATAAAATGTCTCGTTTAAGGTCTGCATGAGGGTGGGAGGAGGATGTGGTGGAGGGAAACTGCTGCCAGTTGGGATGGGAGGGTTGGGCCAAGGAGCTCTGCGGGTCCCCTGGCAACCCGTCGTGACCCCTCCCCACCTCTGACCCCTGAGATGTCATTGAAATGACCCTCCTCTGGCTCCTACAGCCCCCTGGACTTCCCCACCTTGGGCCTTTTGTCTCTTGTATTCATTCAGTCCATGCATATTTATCAAGCACCTACTATGTGCTAGGTCCTGTCCTAGGTGCCGAAGACACAGCAGGAGCAAGAGACAAAGTCCCTGCCCCCCTGGAGCTCTCATGCCGGGATGGAAGAGGGGAGAGGTAACAAAAAGGTGGCCAGGTACTACGTCAGAGCATGGCAAACGCCATGAAGAAAAATAAAGCCGGGGGAGGAGATGAAGAATTTCTTCAAAACCCCTCCTTTGTGGCTGCCCAACACGTTAGACCCTCCTCCCCCCACCCCTACCGATGTGTCCTTTTTTCCCAAGGTGGAAACCAAAAAACTCACAGCTTTAGTGTTTCTTGCAGCAGGCTGTAAGTCTATAACTAGGTTTCACCAGTGGACTTGCATTTGGAGATGAAAGGCAAGCCGGCCAGGCACGGGGAAATTGCTGGAACTGCTCATGTGGCAGGCCTGGTGGAGGTGGGTAGTGAGGGGCACTACTACCTTGCCCCGCTGATAGCAGGCTTGGTCATATGACTTGCTTTGCCCAATGAAATGTGAGCAGAAGTTTTTTTTTTTTTTT